AAGGAGGCTGGATGAACACAACACCAGGGTCGTTTAACCCCAGTACTCTTTCCTGCCATGGCAGGGGGTTGGACTTAATGATCTGCTCAGGTCCCTTCCGACCCTACCAACTATGAATTTCGCGCTCTCAGTTTCTCTTCTCAGTTGGTCTTTAATAGTCCACCAGTTCGCATACTAGGGGAGAGAACTCACAAACACCTATCTCCCATTCGGGATTGTTCCCCACCATCTCTTACCTCCTGATTTGGGGTAAGCTAGGGTTATCATATTTCCAGTTTCCAAAAAAGAGGACACCTGTTGGGGTGGGGAGGAGGCCCTCCATCCCAATAGGTGTCTTCTTTTTTGAAACTGGAAATATGGTTACCTTAGTCTACCCCAACTCAGCAGGTAAGAGATGGCGGACCAGAATGGGAACCATTCCAAATGGGAGATGGGTGTTTGTGAGTTATCCGGAGAGGATCCAGAGGTGGGCAACAAAGGACTTGGAAAGCAAGTCATATAAGGAGAGGCAGAAAGATCTAGGCATGTTCAGCTTACAGAAAAGATGCTTAAGAGAGGGCACATGATAGCAGTCTTCAGATACTTGAATTGCTGCCATGAAGAGGGAAAGCACCTTTTCTTTCTTGCTGTAGAGAGGATGTGGACCAACAGAGATGACCTTAGCAGGGTGCAGGACCCGGGACAAATCGGCCTGTGTGGGGCCCAGACACAAAGAAGCTAGTGGCAGTCGGAAGGGAGGCGGAAGGCGCTGGACGCAAAGCCAGCGGCAGCAGCACAGAGTCACCAGCACTAGGCAGGCCCTGAAGGAGGGGCCGCGGCCACTCCGCCCAGCTCCACGGGGCCCTTCAAAGCGTGGGGCCCGGGGCAGTTGCCCTGATTTGCTCCCCACCTAGGGATGGCCTTGTGGACCAATGACTTGAAGTTGCAGCAAAGTGAGTGTAACCTGGAAAACTTCACTGTGATAATAGGCAGTCTATTCCACTGCCTAAGGAAGTGTAGACTCTCCATCACTGGAAGTGTTGAAGAAGTTGGACAGCTACTGGTTGGGGATGATGTAGGTGTAGCTATGCCTCTATTCTACTATAGGCATTTCCCAGGCCTCTGGACTTTGCTGGTTGCTCCCACCCCACATTTCTGCTACATGTGTCAGGGTGTTTTTAAGCCTCCCTCAGAGGCATCAGGTGTTGACTACAGCCAAGGCTGGGGACTTTGACTGGGATGTGCCAATCCTCTTGCTGGGACCAAAGCTGGAGGTTCCTGGCTAGAGGATCTTGCCCATCCACTGTTTGGGGTATGGACACAGGTGTATAGGAGGCTTAGTTTTGTTCCTGATGCTGTTATGGAAGAAGTGGTAGAAGACAGCAGATGAGCCTGAGCTTGGGGTCCAGAAGGAATTTTACCCCATGGTCAGATTGGTGTGGACTGTGTGTGTGTTTGGGGAATGGGGTTGCTTTCCTTTGTAGCATGGGCTGTGGCCCTCTACCCAGGTTTTCTTGAACATAAATTGATAACATTTCATAGAAGCAGGACATTGGCTGTCATAGTTCTCCTACTTTACTTGTGGAAGGTTAGGGTGTTCGGTCTGTGTTGTGTGAGGGTCGACAGTAGCCATATGTAGAATTTTTAGATTATGGATCGTATAGGGTGGTTTGGATAGCAATGGTCCTGTGCTCAGCCAGGGGGTTGGACTAGATGACCTCTGGAGGTCCCTTCCAGGAATACTTCTCTGTGATGCTCTGTAACCACATAGGAACTATGAGGTAAAAACTTCTTAGTCAGGAATTGGTTCACTGAATTGGGTAAATACACCTAGTTGGAAAATTAAAAGAAGTTGCTGATTTTTTGTTTGTTTGTTTGTCTTGTGTCTTCCATTGACATTTCAATGGGAAAAGTTGGGTATATTTGTTCTCTGCTGAAGAATGTTAATTTTCAAACCAGTTACATTTTGAGAGCTTCCTCAGGGTGCTATGGCAGCTTCCATGACCCCAGCCATGTGCTGGTGCTGCCTCTCATCTGCCTGCAGTACTGCTGGGTGGCACATAGGCAGACAGTGGTCCTTCTTTGAGGGTCTATGCTGGGATGCAGGGGCACTGGGGCTGGTGGTGGGCTGGGGAGGGCAGCATGGTGCAGGATGTGGAGGCAGTATGATGTACTGCCGCAGTCAGTTAGGATTGTCAACCTAAGACTTTTTTATGATAATTTCCCAAACTTTTTCACTATGGTTTGAACCCAGCCTTTGTCCAGGGTCTGGCAGAAGGGTTACACATATAAAACACATATAAAAGGGTTGCACATATAAAAAGGTTTGGTTGTCAGTAAAAAGTTTGTAGATTATCAGTAAAAAAAAAAAAAAAAATTGCCTTGAGCTAGTGACCCTGGATGTGTTGCTGTGGTCAGTCACAGATGACTAGGCTATGTTTAGTGCATAAAACAAGATGGTTGTTTTATTTTTCTTGGGTATTGAGGATTGAGATCCCTCTACTAAAGATGCTCTTCAATTCAGATTCGGCCTGCATCGGGGACAATGATTTGATTTGTTGTTTTGGATCACTGTCCCTGATTCAGTCTGGCCGAATAAGAATCTGAGGATTTAATGCTGATTTGGAGAATCAGTGACAAGGACATAGACACAGCTGTAAAAGTTTTTTCTACATACCTTGAGGTACCAGGCACGGCTTGTGATGACTGCAATTCTGGGGCACATGGAGTGTCCCACAGGAGTGTGGGGGGCCTCCACGTGCTCAGTGGCACACCCAGAAGTGGACTGGAAGTACTTCTGGTCCACTTCTGGGTCTGCTGGGCGGCCCCCTGTGATTCTGTGGGACACTCCATGCACCCCAGCATCACAGCACTCATGAGCCACCTGCTACCTAGAGAAAAACCATTTAAAGCTGTCTCTGTCCAAATTTCCGAATCTCTCTGAATCAATTTGGAGAGATTAAAGGGTCCTCTGATTCCATTCGAAGATTCGGCCACTGAATCGGGTCAAATCTCCGCTGAATCAAATCAGGGACTGAAGCTTTGCACAGCCCTACTATGGAAGGCAAGATGCAACGTGAATTGGAAGGGCAGTGGGTGGCTTTAGTCTGTCAGGGGTTAGCTTGATTTTTTGGGGGGTATAATTTCTTCTTTTAATTTGATTCTGTATTAGAGTCCCAAGATTGTCGTAGGTGGTACCTAAGCAATGCTCATAACAGGTCTCTAAAGCTTTAGAACATTTTATTATCAAAAGTGTAAATTTGTTCCAGTCGAACCAAAGCCTTTTTGGCAATTGAGTGCAACTGGGAAGAAACTGTAAATTCAAGATATCTGAGATGGGTATTTCTGCCACCTACCTCAGTAAGTAAAAGGCAGCATATTAACCAAGCAATACATGAATCAACTTGCTCCAGGTTCTCTAGTTGGGAAAGCATTCCTGTGTGATCTGGCTCATCACTGTTCAGACATGGGAAAATGCAGCAATAATTAGAATGGCACAGCAAAATGGTAATGTTACCTTCCCAAAGCAGTCCTTCAAGTTGAACAATTGTTCTGCTTCAGTTTAATGAGTACACACCCTACTTTAATATAGGACCGAAGACCTAAAATACACAGAAGATTAAGGATGCGTTACTAGAAAAATGTGTAACTATAATCAAACCCTTCCATCCAAACAACCCTGGCCTTGAGGGAAATTTTAGATTTGGATCAAGGTTTTGGGCTGGATGATACCTCCCTTTATTGCATTATGGCATGGCTTACTGTTTCCCGGCCGCTTGCAGAACCAGGAGAACAGAAGGAGCTCCAGTAGCTATCCCTTCCTAACAATCCCAGGAAAAGGAGCCATTAAGAATTTGTGGGGACTCAGCAATTCCAGGCAGTCTCTTGAGGGAGGTGGTGAAGAATGGTCTTCAGGCAGAGCATCAAATATTCTCAAGCACCGTAATTACAGAATCATAGAAGTAGGGTCGGAAGGGACCTTGTAGATCTTCAGGTCCGACCCCCAAATTATGGTGCTTGAGATTTATTTGAAAGCTGATTTGAAGCAAATGACACCTTTTATATGACCTTCAGATATGCAGGGAGAGATTTTCAGCTTGTATAAATTGGCATAGATCTATTGGCTTATACTGTCTGAAGAAATGGCACCTTTTTTGAAAGTATCAAGACCAAGCTCTTGCATTCTCTTCTATGATCAGAGAATTTACCCAATTTTTATTTTTAAGTCCACTCCAGAATCTGCAGAAGTTTGTGAACAATGCCTTTGTGCGAACACAGAGTTGTGTAGTTCACATTTTCTTTTATACCCAGCAGATGTGGTGTTCTCGTATTTTAAGGACTGAGCAATTGGATGAGAGCATCTTTATAACCCAATACACACTGTTGTATGGTACATAATGTTTCTCCATTAACTATGTTGAAACCAGCTATAACGATGACATTTGGCAGTACTACTGTATGAGTACACTCCATGCAGTCTGACATCAGGATTGACTTGAGGCAGAATCTTGATTAGCAGCTTTGCTGGGTGGATCTCTAAAGAAATTGTAAGTGTTTTGCAAATGGGGCGTGTTTTCCCTCTCAGAGTACAGCCTATGTATATAACTTTGCTAGTACACTTAAATGCTGTTTGCCTGAAACGTTGCAAAGGTAGGAGGCTTTCTGTTTTCACGTTGTATGGGGCTGGGATCGTAACTGTCAATGTGTACTCTTAACATTGTCACCTTTTATGTAGAAGAGTAGCAGTAATTCTGTCAACTTAGGACAGTGTTTAAACAAGTCGGGTACCTGGGACAAGTGTTAGCAAGCTCGTATTTGAAACCTATGATATTTTATGACTGATATGGTTCGTGCATTTGGGGATGTTTTTTGTTTAAAGTGAGGGGCTTAGGAGTGCAGTAGTGGTTTTTGGTGCTACTCCTGCTTTCCCTGCAACGTTTTCATTCCACAAAACACTCGTGTGAAACATTTTGACAAATTCTTAAGTTGCAGAAGTGACCTATGCATTCTTTGTACTAGGAAAAAGAATTTAAAAGAACGACACAGAATTTGTGTTTGTGTATTAATAAAACTCTTGCATCTGAGTACAGTGAAAATAGTGGCTGTAGTTGGGTGGGGGGTTAAATTGTGAAAAAGCTATTTTCTTTAGGAGTCAGTCTAGCATCAGAGTATGAGATGTCTCAGAACAAAATGGGCTGTTTTGCCCAAAGATACAGAGGAAGTATTCCAGGCTTGAAGTGAGTGACCAAAACTGGTTCTTTCAGGGAAACGATAATATCACACTCTGCATATGAGTAGGAGGAGTTCTTGCTGAGGTAACGTGCACATGCTTCCTCTCTGAAAAAATTACACTTTTTTTTTTAATTAAAAAAAGAATTGTAGTTTATTAGCCTTTGCCAGATTCTCAGTTAGTATAAATTTGTCCAGCATCTTTTATAACACTGATTCTCATCAGCAGAAGATTTGACCCTCAGCCTTTAGACCTAGGTAGTGGCAAGAGCGAGGAGTCGGCTGTTGCAGCAAAGCAGCTGGCATGCCATGCCAGGCACATAGAGTCTCCCCTGCTGGTTTGGCCACGGACAGGAGAGATGTTGGGTGAGAGCAAGTGGCAAGTGTGAGTCTGAGAACAAAGGTGCAGAGGAGACTTGGTCTTGGTCCTGATGCTGTTGTGAGAAGTGGTAGAAGGCAGCAGGTGAGTCTGAGCAGTCATCGTGGGTTGCCGACGCATGGAGGAGTATCACTGCCTACCCCCGTGTTTTAATATTTGACAATTATTCTACAGGTGATGATGAAGAATCATTTTATAGAACCTTGTGTAACCTGCACTGGGTGTTTGTGAGCCCTTAGGGAGTGGTAGTGATGCACTTCCTGGCCATGGAACTTGTAAGAGAAATAAATCGGCCCAGGCAGAGCAAAGAGAGAAATAAAGGGCAAGAAGGTCAAGAGAAGGCAGACAGACATGGAAGGAAGGAATTACTTTCCTACTGCACCTGTTACAAAGTAATTTAAAATGCAATCAATAGCTCTGGGCAGAGGTAACTTCAACACGTGAAAAGGCAAAGAAGAATTGCTACCTGGGTATGCCTGTCACCTCTTATGCTGTAACTGTTCCATCTGCGTACTCCTAGGGTTGATTTAACCTGGAATGAAACCGCATTAAAGGTGCAATGGCTTTACTATGCTCCTATCACTAAAGGAACATGCCAAAATAAAGTTACAGTCAACAGCTACCTGCCAGGAGTGTGTCACTCCTTCACCTTTTGCATACCAGCTGCAATGTTGCAGGGGGTATGGGCTGGATTCGATCTTCCAAGGTCCCTTCCAGCCCTAATGTCTATTAAATCTATGACATAGCAGCCTTCAACTGCCTGAAGGGGGGTTGCAAAAGAGGGCGGAGCTGGACTATTCTCAGTGGTGGCAGATGACAGAACAAGGAGCAACCGTCTCACATTGCAGCAAGGGAAATTGAGGTTAGGTATTAGGAAGAATTTTCTCGCTAGGAAAGTACTAAAGCACTGGAACAGGTTACCCAGAGGGGTGGTGGAACCTCCATCCATCCTTGGAGGTTTTCAAAACCCGGCTAGACGAAGTTTTGGCTGGGATGATCTAGTTGGAGATGCTCCTGCTTTGAACAAAGGGTTGGACTAGATGACCTGCTGAGGTCCCTTCCAACCCTAATTTTCTGTGATTCTATATGCTTAATTAGAGAGTCGTAAGAAGGGAACCTGTTGCCACTGGAAGGGGAACCCTTACATTACCTCTAGTTGCCACTTGAGTTGACATACAGGCAGTTCCTGTACTTATGGTGGTTATGTTCCTGAAAAAGGTTCTGTAAGTCAACGTAATGTAAGTCGAATCTGATTTTTCCCATAGAAACAATGTTATAATAGGGGGTTACGTTCCTGACCAAGGGCCTGATGCCCAACTTTTTATAGAAATGATCATAAACACCATATTTAAATCACCTATTTAATCGACTATAAATGATATACACTGTACCAGTACAAAGCTGTTTAAAGTGTACTATATATAAATCAATTAAACAGGGCAATACAGTAACTAATCGTATAAAATTTTATTTAATCGGAAGATGAAGGAACACCATCAGGGTCATGGAATTCAGAAGGGCTTCTTTGGGGAGATTTTGGGGAGACTTTTGGCCCCTTGATGGCTTTTTGAGAAGCTTATCCAGGAATGTTTGTTTTGTTGCCCTCTTTTTCTCATTGTATAGTTCCCTGTAGTGCCGTAAGTGCGAGGATCCAGTGCTGTAAGTAATAACATGGGTGTAAATGGCAGAGCACCGCAAGTGCTGTTTCCCGGGGGCCCGCATCCGAGACACTGCGGAGATCCCTAAGCTCCTCCAGCCCACAGACCACTATCCCATGCTCCTCATCTAGGTGGGCATGAATAACATGACTCAGAGCACTTCTAACCGTGTCATGAGATGCTACAGAGATTTGGGTGCGGGAGTAAAGGGTCTGGGGGCACAGGTGGTGTTTTCTTTGATCCTCCCAGTCTCGGGCTATGGGCTGAGGAGGGAGAGGAGGATCCAGGTAGTCAACCAAAGACTGCAGCACTGGTGTCATCAGGAAGGCTTTGGCTTCCATGACCACAGCCCGCTCTT